ATGGTTTATCGTAACATTTATTTTGTTTATAGTTCCACTGTATTTTGAGTGCTGTATCCAGGAAATCATTGCCATATTTTGAAGTTTTAACCTATGTTTTCTTCTAAGAGTCTTATATTTTTATGTCTGGTGTTTAGGTCTTTAACTCATTTTGAGTTAGCATTTGTAGATGGTGTAAGATAAGGGTCAAATATTTGCATGTAGATATACAGTTTTCTCAAGATTATTTGTTGAAGAGACTGTTCTTTCACCATTTTGTGGTCTTGATGCCTTTGCTGAAGAAAACTTGATCATATGCTTGAGGATTTACTTCTGAGCTCTCTATTCTTGTTCAGTGATCTGTATATCTGCTTTTATTTCACTACTGCATTGTTTTGATTGCTGTAGCTTTATAATGTATTTTGAAATCAGGAAGTATAAGTACTCCAACTTTGTTCTTCTTTTTCTGGATTGTTTTGAACACTCAGGGTCCATTGATATTCTACATAAATTTTCGGATTCTTTATTTTTTAAAAAAGTGAAGTTGTGATTTGATATGATTACATCAAATCTCTAGGTCACTTTGAGTAGTTTGAACATTTTAACAATGTTAAGAGTTTCTCAATCTGTGATTACAGGATGTCTTTGTTTTCTGCTACAGCCTAACTTACAAGGAGTCTAGTCTAGTTCCCAATGGAGTCCTGTTTCCATACTGGAATCGTTTAAGCCTGGCCTTTACTGTCTGCATTCCTATCAGCATTCTGGGCTTCTGGACATTGACCAGAACTTCCCATCCAGTTTGGCTTATAGCATTATGGGGCTTCTCTAGCAGGAATCTTCAAAACTTTCCAAACTTTTCCTGTAAACCAATTCCAAAGGCTTCTAACCTCATGGTTAATTGCAGTTATAGCAACAACCCCAGTTCTCTGGCATCATTTCCTGTCTGTGTCCTTTCTCATTGCTGGGACAAAATACTCAACACCTGCAACTTAGAGAAGGAGAGGTTTATTTTGACACAATTTCAGTGCTTTCCACTGCATGGTGGAAGGGCATGGCATGTGCACGCGTGCACGTGAGTGCCTGCACACACACACGCACACAGGGAGGAAGTAGAGAAAAAAGGTGGACTCAGGAACAAGAAAACACACTCTCCCAAGTCATACCCTTCATCTCTGACAGAAATATCTCCTACTTTTGATCCCACATTTTTTTCTGCTACAAGAAAAAAATATACAATGAAATTATGTGTGCTTCTGAATTCCAGATAAACTTAAGTAAGATGAGCAGACAATTTCTTAACAGATTGTAACACTTGGCAGACTATAGAGAATGCCTCATTTGGTGACAGATTTATGGAGATATAATCCACATCCCATACAATTCATGGATCTAAAATATGAAATTTAAAGATTTAAAAAATGTATTTAGAGTAGTCCAGCCAACACTGCAGCATATACAACATTTGCATTACCTCAAAAAAGGACACTCTGTGTCTTTTATCTATAATAAAGCAATCTCCTCCAATCCTAGACACCTGCTAATCTCTGTTCTGTCTTTATATATTTGCCTGTTTTGGACATTTCATGTAAATGAAATCATATTACATGTATCTTTTTTGACTGGCTTTTTCCACCCAACATAATGTTTTTAAAGTTTATCCTTGCTATAGGATGTATCAATATTTCTTTCCTTTTTCTTGCTCACCACATTCTATTATGTGTAAGCACCATATACAAATAAATATTTGAGTACTCATTTCAGTTCTCTTGGGCTTGTACTTAGGACTGGAATTGCTGGATTAAATAGTAATTCCATGTTGACCCTTCTTAGGAACTGCTGTACAATTCCAATCCACATCTCAGCAGTAGCACATGGGATTATTACCTGCCTTTATGATCATAGCTTTCCTACAGGTGTAAAGAGGTATGGCATGGTGGTTTTGATGTGCATTTCTTTAATCATTGAGGATTTTCAGCATCATCTTGTGTTTATTTCTCCAAACTTTTAATTTTGACATAGTTTCATTTTGCAAAAAAGTGGTAGGATAGTTCAAAAGATTCCCATGCATCCTTTATTCAGATTTACTAATTGCTAATGTTTTGATCACTTTTCAGTCATTAGTTCTGCTTTCCTATGTTTCTGTGCCTCTCTTTCCATACCTCTCACATTAAAAAATAATCTGAGAGTAATTTGTGATCATCAGGACCATTTGTACATAAAGACCTCAGTGTAGATTTCTCAAGAACAAGAGCTTTTTGTTGTCATTGTTGTTTTATGAAACCGTAGTATATTTACCAAAATAAGAAAACTCAGTACATATATTATCCACAGACCATGCTCAGACATCACCAATTATCCTAATATTCTAGAGTTGAGTCCAAGATGCCAAATTGCATTTAGTAATCAGATGTCTTTATCCAATTTTCATCTGAAATCTTGCCCCAGCCTTTCTTGATTTACCATGAGTTGATATTTTTGAAGAGTTTGGGCCACTTATTTCAAGGAACAGATTAGTCTTCCATGCCCTTGTGATTAGATTAAACTATGCATTTTTTGAAGTAGGACTACCAAAGAAGTAAGTAGTAGATGGTATGTTTTCCCTGTTAATGATTTCTATCTTGAATAAAACATGCTGAGCTCTTACACTAAGGGTTGGTAATACAAAATGCCACTAGTGCAGAAAGCAGCCAGCATCTGGAAATGGTATCATCACAGATATCTAGCAGCAGGGAGCAATGGAGAGCAACAAAGAATTGTCAGGAGCCACCATCTTCCTGAAACCTGCCAGGAGCACTTTACCCTGAGCAGAAAGGAGGGCACTAGCATTAAAGAGCTGATAACTGTAAGAATTCAAAGTGCAGAACTGTTAACACTAAAAGAACCACCCTTGCCAATTCATGATTTCTATGCAAACTGGGGAAGAAAACACATCTGGTTGGTAACATCTTGGAAAGGTATTGGGCTCCCTTTAGAAAGCCCTGAAGAAGAGAGTAGATAGTGGTGATGGTCATCAGCAAGCTCAGGAACCAGCCCACACCTGATTTCCATCTTTTGTGTGACTAAGAAACCACACCCAGTGAGTGACAGTGGGACAACAGACATGACCTCGAAGGTGTCACCTCTTCTTAAGGAGTTTGAATCTTTCTTTTTCTGACCCAGGCCTGATATTCAAGGTGATTCTCTTGGTAAGAACTCAAAACAGAAGCAGGGACTGAAGACCAAAGTGGGAAAATGACCACTTGCCTCTGACCTGGTGGATGTGAGGCAGAGGGCCCACAGGTCATATAGGGCATTATCACATATCCAGATATGTCTCTGAAAATACCCTTCCAGCTCCCACAGGAAGCTGATGTGTCAGGAGCCCACATCAAGGACTCACTCTCATGGTCCCCTTCTAATGCTCTCCTCCTGGACTGTTACATCTTCATCTAGTCTGGGTTGGCGTGAGGTATGTTTTATGCTTGTGTTCAGGTTAAAAACTGGATTAGCTCATGTCCCAAAGCCTCTTTCTCCTAAAGCTGCTGTCTCAGTCATGGGCTGTGGGTGTCCAATTTCACATGAAAAACTGACAAGAGTCATTTTTTAATTACTGCAGGATGCATTCAGCTCTGAGTGGGGCATCTGGAAGAAGAGGAGTGTGGTGGGACAGGACAAAACTCAGTAGCAAATACTTGTAAATGCTGTCCCATTACTAAGCAGTAAATTTGGGAAAATAAACAGTATATTTATCTAACTTAAATATTATCATTGTTGGTCTACCATAGTCAGTCCTCCTTTCAGTATAGGACAATTTAAGTATTTGAAAGTCAATCAGCCATAGCTGACATGATTTAGATTCTTCAGCCACTCAAAGTAAGTTACTGTCACTCCTCCAGCATTCAAGTACAGATCTGGGATATTCATGATATTACTCTCCAGGAAAATCTTATCAGCTTCCAGAGTAGTGGGTCCATTGGAACCTTCTGTGATGATCTTGGCTTTGACTCTGGGTGTGTTGGATTTGGTCAACTGCTTCTCACTGACAGCAGGGATTAGGATGTTGAAGTCAGCTTCCAAGATGCTTTGTTTTATATTTTTGCCTTAGGGAAGCCCAGAACTGATCTATGTTGCAAGTTGAAATCTTCCAGTTATTTTGGGTCAATACTGCCACGGCCTTGGTTGGCTGAAGGGTCCAGGAGTGAGAAATGATGATGATGGGAGATTAAGAAAAGGTAAAGAGAGAAAGTTAAAAGAACAAAGAGAAACAAAGGTGGGGCCAGGCGGGGCTCTAAAGAACCCAGGCAAATGCAAGGGAGTTTATTTATAGTGGTAGAGATAAGGGAAGTATAGGGGGAGGTAAAATGGGCTGGTCTGTAACTGGAGCCAGGAGAGTAGCTAAGGTCTGTAGGATATCCTGCTTGATGGTTTTCTGATGAATGGTGGTGGGGGGCAGTCCTCTTCTCAGCCAGGCCTTCCTCCATCATAGCCCCCCTTTTTTTTTTGTACCAGGAATTGAACTCAGGTCCTTGCACTTGTGAGACAGGTGGCAGAACCACTGAGCTAAATCCCTGGCCCTATCATGCCCTCTTGTTGCCTGTTCTCCTCCAGCGTGGAGCCCTGCGTGGGAGGAAGTGAACAAGACGCATGTTTCTCCTTCCATGCAGGGCCCTGACTCATCTGTGGGAGGAGGTGAGTTAGGCCTGGCTGTAGTGATCCACAGCACAGTGCTCCCAGCACAGTACCATCTGGAATATATATATGTATACACACACACACACACACACACACACATACACACACATCAGACTCCCCAGCACCAACACATATATCACCAAAATGATATAAATAGCTCTAGGGTGCAGGCCCACATTAACAAAGCTCTGAAAAACAAATGTTTTGTCTCCAAAGCCTGGTGTCATTCCTAAAATGCTCATGTAGGAAGCTTCACTGATGAAGTTCTCAATCTTATGGAAAAATCGTGGCCAGTCGCAGAGATCTGCCTGTGATTCTCCCTTGACTGATGGGCTTCCAGGTAACTCAAGCATATGCATTAATATCATAGTGCCCTATGGTGCTGTCATAGGTGTCCATGATCAAGGACATCTTCCGCTCACCCCTGCTCATGTCCAGGGCAGGCACGTCAATGCCAGGACTGAGAAAGCCCTTCTTTGCCAGTTCCATGGTGAACCTCCTTGGGATCTTTTCCAATTCATTGTCTGACTAGTTCTTGGGATTGGTCTAAACACCTGCTTTAGCCCCGCCAAATGGCATATCAACCACTGCACACTTGCATGTCATCATTGAAGCCAGCACCTTCACTCGTCCACATTCTTGTCCATGTTGTCCCGGATGCCTCCCTTGCAGGTGTACACTGCTGACCGTGCTGAGTGCCATAGCCCTCGATGACCTTCCAGGAGCCATGGTTGTGACTGAAGGGGAAGGAGACACTCAGCATGTAGTTGCAGAGCTTGATCATGTGCAGGATGCTGCGCACACAGTTATGCTTTTCTTTGCTCTCGTGGGTGTCCAGGTCCTCCACCAGCTTGACCCGCACCATGTTGGTGCCGCGGCTGAAGAAGCCCCCCACCACCTTGAAGAAGTTGGAGTCATCCTCATGCTTGGGCCACCACCTCGCTGTAGTGGAGGGCAGGTGATGGTCGGGGCAGGTGGCAGTGCATGGCATTGTGGCAAAGGAGAGTGGGTCTGAGGCCAAGAGGGCCTTACAGATCTTTATCCCACTGCCACCGAGGGCCTCTGTTGCATCTCTTTGCATGCAAAAGGAAATCTGTCTTACAGTAGTTGAGAAGTAAATGCAAATATTGATTAGGCAGAATGTAATTCATGGCAGGGGTGGCTTCTGATCTTCAGCTTCTGGAGAGTTGAGAGGTGTCATCATGCCCATTGAAGTCTGAACCCCGAAGTCAAGAAACTGGTTCACCTCTGGCCTTAATATTGAGCCCAAAATATTTCCTTTTACCTAAGCTCATCTGAGTTTGCTTTCTGCCATGGTTGACATCACCCTGACATATATAGAAATGGATGGTTCATAGAATATTGGAAGGAGCAGGCTCCATACCATTAGGCTGCCCTGGAGGTGGACCATCAGGGAGTATGGCTCCTGCTGGCAGGCACAGAGCTGTCCTCATGCCCTGGATACTTTCCCCTCCATGTTTTCTTGTGTTCTTGTTACTGGGAGGTGGCCTTCACAGAGTCCTCAGGGAGAAGTTTGTGTGTGGGTGGGTGTGGGTGCATATTTGCAGGCAGAAGAGGGAAAGGACTTAGAAGAAAGATGAAAGAAGAGCAATTGGAAGTCCATGTGCAGATGTGAGATGAGTTGAAATCTTTTCACTGATGAATTTGTTAGTTTATCAAATGAATTCTATTGTTTGGGGTTAATAACAGGAAAACAGAAGTCTATCCATGTTCAGTACAGATGAAACTTTTGTCATTAATATTTTCAGTCCACAAATACAGAGCCCATAGATGTGGAAGGCTCATTGTATTTGCTATATTCAGAGGTAAATGCTTCATATTTTATGAGATACCTTGTGATATGCTTGCACACCTGGTGGATGATGATCTCCAACTTCACTTTCCTGCATTCTGGATTGTTTTGTCACATTGCAGATGAGCCTTGTGGGGACAATGGGCAAGTGTTGTCACACAGAGGACATGGACAAATTGCCAAATACCTAGGAGCTCCTATTTAGTGCCTCCCTAACCCTGCTGTGTATTTCAGCCCAGGATCACCTCACTATCAGAAAATACAACTTCCCACCACTTTACCACAGGGCTTCGTGTTTGTGAAATTGATAAACCATTGCTCTTTTAATCCAATGAACACAGATTCCTTTCTTTCCTGGAACACAGATGCTATAGGCAGAACATTATTTGCCTCTATTTGTACCATTTATGTGTATCTAGAGTTATTACCAAATCAATTTGAGAACTGAATCTTTAGGTGACTTCATTATTTGACAGATGCAGTAGTGTGCAATTGTAGTCCCAGCTACTCAGGAGGCTGAGGCAGATGGATTGTCTAATCCCTGAGCAACATAGCAAAACCCCATCTCAAAACAAAACAAAAGGAATTCATTATGACAAGTCATGTTGTATCTATTAAACAGAAAATGTGGTAGGATGCTAGGATTGCAACTCATGTGGAAAGGTGAAGGGCAACAGGTTGTGTGAAAAGGCAAAACTCAACGAGCAGCTTTGCTGTCTACCATCCCCAAACATAAGCAGAACCCATTTAGGGCAGAAAGGCATGAATGCACTCACAAGGCTCTGGCCCCATGACCCAGACACCTCCTGCAAGGCCTCATCTTCTGGCACTGCAACACTGAGGAATCATATTTTAGGGAACACCACAGCAGCCTGCAAGCTGGCTTTAGGGATGATAGGGATGGTGCTAGAAAAAATGGCCATGCCTAGCATTGAGGAGCTTCCAGGGCTTCTGTTTAAGGGGCTAGGGGTCTCAGGTAGGGCAATGGGGAGTCCAGCATGGGGTCTTAGGTGCTGGAGTGAAAAGTGGGGAACATTTGGGATGAAGGATGTAAGGGACTTAATGAGTCCCCCTAAATTTATTGGTTGATACCCTAACTCCAATAGTTTATAATATGACTACATTGGAGGTGGCACTTTTACATAGCTAAGTAGGGTGAAATGAGATAGTTAAGGGACCCTAATCCAATGGGTCTAGGGTCCTCATAAGAAATTTGGAGGTACAAAAAGACAGTGGAGATGTATGCCATGTGAAAAGGCAGCAGAGCACTGTGTGCAAACCAAGGACAGAGCCCTTGCAAGAGACCAGATCTGCCCCCAGTGCCTTCACCTTGGATTTCTAGTCTCTATGATGGTGAACTAATGAGTCCGTTTTGTTCCGGACCACAAGTCCTTGGTAGCCAGAGCTCAGTGGTGCAGCTTCTTGCTCTTCCACAAAGGCCATCCTGGACATCATGAGTGCCGATAAAGGTTCATTCTGGAAGGAGGAAGGAGGAAGGAGGAAGGAAAAAACTATTAACCATCATTTTAAAAACATTTAAAAATCAGCACACATTGATTGGGTTTAAATGGTGTTCTTATACATGGTTATGTTGTGTAATGCTTAAATAAGTTCCTACATGCCTATGTCCTGAAACTTTTGCCATCCAATATGGTAAAAGCTTCCAATAAATATTTCTCTAGCTTTTGAAATATAAAGTGCATTACTGTTATCTGTCATCACCTTACCATCCAGTAGCACTGCAGAACCTCTTCTCTCTGACTGTGACTAGTACCCACTAACCACAATTTCTCACCCCTCCCTTCCTCAGCCTATGGCAATCACCATTCTACTCCCAGCTTCTATGAGAACAACTGTTGTAGCTTCCATGTGTATGTGAGGTCATGCTGTACTTGTGTTTCAGTAACTAGCTTACTTCTTTTTCCCCCATTTAAAATTTTTTTTATTAGTACATATTTCAGTATATAATGATAACATTGTTAGTGGGGAGTTGGTCCATGTATCTTCAGTGTTGACCTTATATCCAGCTACTCTACTGAATCTGTCAATTAAGTCTAGAAGTCTTTTCACTGAGCTTTTTGGGTCTTCTATGTAAAGTATCATATCATCAGCAAATAATGACAGTTTAACTTCTTCCTTCCCTATCTTTATTCCTTTTATTTCTTTCTCTTTTCTAATTGCTGTGGCTAATGTTTCCAGAACTATATTGAACAGGAGTGGTGATAGTGGGCATCCTTGTCTTGTTCCTGATTTTAGCATGAAAAGTTTTCAGTTTTTGACCATTTAGTATGATGTTGGCTGTTGGTTTTTCATAGATAGCCTTAATCAGGTTGAGATAAAGACCTTCCATGCCAATTTTCCACATGGTTTTTATCATGATGGGTATTGGATTTAGTTGAATGCCTTTTCTGCATCTGTTGAGATGATCATGTGGTTTTTGTCCTTGACTCTGTTAATATAGTGTATTACATTTATTGATTTATGAATATTGAACCATCCTTGCATCCCTGGGATAAATCTGACTTGGTCAGGGTGTATGATCTTCTTGATGACCCTCTGTATTCTGTTTGCCAGTATCTTGCTGAGGATTTTTGCATCTATGTTCATTAGGGAGATTGGCCTGTAGTTCTCTTTTTTGAGTTGGGTCTTTTCCTGGTTTTGGAATCAAAGTAACACTTGCTTCCAGGAATGAATTTGGAAGCCTTGCTTCCCTTTCAGTTTCTTTGATGAGTTTAAAGAGTAATGGTGATAGTTCTTCTTTAAATGTCTTGTAGAATTCAGCCATGAAGCCATCAGGACCTGGGCTTTTTTTTGTTGGTAAAAATTTAATTACATTTTCAATTTCACTCATCATAATTGGGGTGTTTAGAATTTCTATATCTTCTTCATTTAACTTTGGCAATTTGTATGTATCTAGGATTCTGTCCATTTCTTCTGTGTTATCCATTTTATTAGACTACAGGTTCTCGAAGTAGGTATTGATGATCCCCTGGATTTCGGCTGGGTCTGTTGTGACTTCCCCTTTTTCATTCTTAATTGCATGGATTTGAGCCTTTTCTTTCCTTTTTTGGATAAGATTAGCTAAAGGTTTATTGATTTTATTTATTCTTTTGAAAAACCAACTTTTTGATTCATTGATTTTTTTGTATTGTTCTCTTAGTCTCCATTGCATTGATTTCTGCTTGGATCTTTATAATTTCCTCTCTTGTGAGGGCTTTGGCTTTGTTATTCTCTTCTTTTTCTAGGATCTTGAGATTCTACATTAGGTTATTTATCTGAGTTCTCTCTGTTTTCCTAATGTGGGCATTGACTGCTATGAATTTCCCTTGTAGAACTGCTTTCATTGTGTACCATAGATTCCTGTATGTTGTACTGGCATTATCATTTACTTGTAGAAACTGTCTAATTTCTTCTTTAATTTCATCTGTGACCCATTGGTTGTTCAGGAGGGTGTTATTCAATTTCCATGTGTGGTCCATGTATCTTAATTCTTCTTTCATCAACTGTCCTCCTCTCCCTGTTCCCTCCTTCCACCTCTTGCTCCCCTTCCCATTTGTAAAATATCTAGCTCCTTATTTCATATTGTATATCTTTTATTTTGCACTTCACATTTTGGTTTTCTCATATAAGGGAAATCATGCAATATTTAAGATTGTGTGTCTCATTTATTTCACTTAACATTATTGTTTCAAGATGTATCTATTTTCCTACAAGTAACTAAAGTTTATTGTTCTTTATGGCAGAGCAGTACTCCATTATGTGTAAATACCATATGTTCTTTATTCATTCATCTGTCGATGGACCTATAGGTTGCTTCCAAGATTTAGCTGTTATGAATTATGGTGCTATATACTTGGGTATGCATGTATCATTGTAATATGATATCTTTAACTCTTTCGGGAAGATAACTAGAAGGGAATAGCTAGATCCAGTGGAATTTCTATTTTTAGTTTTTTGAGAAGTCTCCATATTGATGTCCATAGTAATTGTACTAGTTTACATTTCCACCAACAATGTAGAAGGGTTCCAACTCTAGCCTGCCATAAAGTCACTTTAAGAGTTAAACTTCACTGTTTTTGTAGTTTACAATAGCTGTGGGCAGGAGGGACAGGTAGGGCAGGGGATGAAAAAAGAATTAAGATGTGTTATGTACATGTGCCATCTCCCCATGAGGAATGTAATCATTGTGTGCTGCAAACATGAACTAATAAAGAATAAAAATTGAAAAAAATAGCTGTGGGCTTTTCTTGGGGTTAGTGCTATTGGCCAGGTCTGTCATATCTTCCTGGATGTGCTGGCCCTCCAGGCTTGGCTTCTCCCCCAGCATTGGCCTTGTTCACCATCAGGTTGTTGATTAGCACTTCTGGTGCTTCATCCTGAGGGGAAATGAAATACAGAGCCAGCTCAGAGTTGACAGGTG